TATTAAAAAATATCATTGGTCAAAGTTGATAATCGTTGACCAAGAAAAGTCAAATTGGCCAACCTTTTGGGGACGGAGGGAGTATGTAGTACTAACTCGGTCCCTAATAAAACTTCCAAATGGGTTGGGCACACAATTTAAGATAATGAGTATTGTTTGGTGGAGAGTTGTGCAGATGAGAGAGAAATGTGTAAGAAATGTTGTGAACCACAAATTCTTTACCAAAAAGGGGAAAATGAAAGTTTTAATTGGGACGGACGAAAAAGGAAAGTTGGAAATTTATTTAGGGACGGAGGGAGTAGTAGTTAGACGTTATGTATCAAGATTTCAAAAGATGTACGTAGTATATATAACTTCTAGATAGTCTAATTCTTGTACTTTAAACATTATAAAACTTATATTTCACTGAACTATCTAGTCTATTTGTATTTTAATATTAATTTTTGTAATTTTTCATTGTTTTAGGGGCCTCAATTCGCCTTTAGGAATCAGAGTCTCCAAATTCATTACATTGCCTTGCTAAAATTGCAAAATAGCTAGTTCCAATTGAAATCAGGCGTCCATTAGTTTGTTTTAGTGTTGGTCTGCAACCACTTTTTTAATTTATTAATCAACTAATTAAATTAATTATTTAATTAATAGTGTATTACTCCGTATAATAATACTAATGGTAATAAGTATAGAAATACTCCTTTTTTAAAAAAGAAAGTATAGTAATACTACTATTAATAGCAATAATAATTTTAGTAATTGTTGTTGTACTAACAATACAAATACGGAGTAACAATTATAGAGTATTACAGAGTAGTTACTAGCTACTATCTCTAGGGGTGTATTCCATTCTTTCGGTTAGGTTTTGATTTAAAACCAATCGGAATCAACGTAAAAAGTTCGGTTCAATTTTACACCAAAACTTGGAACCCCAATTTGACTTTCGGTTTTCGGGTCATATCACATCAGACTAAATCAAACTTGACGTGAAAATCTCATTCCAATTTAAAACATCCTCAAATTTTCAAACCGCATATATATATATATATATATATATATATATATAGAGTGCTCTTCATGTCAGGCCGGCCTGACGGGCTGCCCCGTCCGGCCGAGCCCGTTTGGGCACCTTCCCGGTGGAATTTTTTGATGAAATTTTTTGAGCATGTTCTTCATCAAGTCTAGTTTGTCCATACCAAATTTCAGCTCAAAATTCGATCGGGAAGGTCTTCAAATGATTTTTGCAAGTTAACTGGTCCGGAAAATACATATTCCGGACCAGTTAACTTGCAAAAATCATTTGACGACCTTCCGGATGGAATTTTGAGCTGAAATTTGGTATGGACAAACTAGACTTGATGAGGAACATGCTCAAAAAATTTCATCAAAAAATTCCACCGGGAAGGTGCCCAAACGGGCTCGGCCGGACGGGGCAGCCCGTCAGGCCGGCCTGACATGAACATTCCTCTATATATATATATATATATATATATATATATATATATATATACTCTGTAGAATCAATAAATCAATGTTTTTGACGCAAACTAGCTAGTTATAACCTTGATGGTGTGGTCCGTGTGGAATGTGTTACGGTCGACGAGTGTAAAGTGCATGCTAAGAGCAACTCCAATACTCTTGGTCTATTGCATGTGACATGGCGAAATTTTGATCTAGGTCTATTGCAAAAGTGGGTCCAATATTGATAAAATAGATGGTCCATTACAAAGGACCTCCAATGCGCATTAACTAAATCAAATGCAAACAAAAGAAAGCAAAGAAAAAAGTAAATGTAGACCCACTTTTTGTGTCAGAAGGTTGCACCGAAGGTCCAAGATGTGAACCTTGTGCTGGACTGCCTTCGAAATGATTAAATGCCACATCAGCTCACCATAGTCCATTTTATTTTGCATTGCAATTCACATTTCTCTTCAAGATCTACATATGATGAGGTGGAACAACAATGGACCTCTCCATTGGAGATGCCCTAAGCTATTTTAACCTTGATGGTGTGGTCCGTGTGGAATGTGTTACCGTCGACGAGTGTAAAGTGCATGCTAAGCTATTTTAACAAATACGGAGTAAGAATTAGGGAGAGAATTGGGTCGTATCCACGACTGGGGTTCGAGAGGTTACCATCTTTTTTTAGATTTCACAAAGAAAGATAATAGAACTAAATAATAGGATAATTGCAACAATAGGAGTTTAAAGTTTAAATATTCAAAATAGGATCTATTCTACCCTTACCTATTCTACCCTTTCCATTGTCATTCTTTTTTCTTTCTTTTTTTATTACTCGGGAAAGGGAGGGGGGTCTGGGGGAGGGTGGCTGGGGCCCTGGAGTAATTGGGACTGAAACTCTCACCATTATTGAGTTTTGATCGAACCCTTATGTGCCTAGCGGGTTTCGAACTCGAGAACTCCCACTAGACACGATAAATAAAAACTAAATCATAAATAAAAATATACAGACCTCAACCACCACCTCAGTCACCTTCGAGCACCGCCACCTCCGGTCGTAGGAAAAGATTGTCAAGTTGGGGAAACATTGTCACCGTGATGACAATTTTTAAAAGGAACCTGGATATTTCAAAGAGTAAAAATGTCATCTTCATGACATTTTTCAGAGAAATGTGTCATTGTTTTTACAAAAGATGGCATTTGATTCCGTCGACCGGAGCTGGTGGTGCTGGTAGGTGGATGACGCGGTGGCAGTGGCCTACATATTTTGTAAATATTTTTTTTAGGTATTTTTAATTTATTTTTTAGATTTTTTAAAGTTTTTAAATTTTTTTTCACATTTTTATTATTAATTTATAAATATTTTATTATTTTGGATTATTAGCTAAATATATTCCAAATTATCATCAAATTCACAAACTTATCCTATACTTTCACTTTTAATTAAAAGGACTCAAATTTCATTTTTTCTCACAATTACATTTTCAATGGATGAATTAGTAAAAGCTATGAAGAAAATTATATTTATATTTCACATTTTTTCATTTCTTTCTAGTTTTAAGTTTACAAACTTGTATTGCTTATATCTTATTGGTATGGATAAAATGTGTAATTCTGAAAAAAAAAAAGCATAATTGTTGAGAAAGATGAAGTTTGAGTCCTTTTATGATAAAAGTGAAAGAATGAGATAGATTTGAAAATTTGATGATAGTTTGAGATAAAATAAGCTAATACTCTTTTATTTTTAATATTTTTATTATAATTAAAACTATGATTCTCTTATTAATAAAATAAATCTATTAAAAATTATAGGAAAGGGGTATATGAAAAGAAGGGACATATATTAATCCTATTTTGGGAATAAAGGGGTTGTAGTCCTATTGTTCAATTTTGGCTAATTTTAATCCTATTAAGAGCTAATACCCTTTTAGAAATTATGTTGTTTTAGTTCTCCTAAGTTTGTCTTGGTCCGGCTAGTTGTTTGTATCTTGGTCGAGTGTAGTCTATGTTCCATATGATGATATGAACATGTTTTTTTGCTGATTCTCTTTTTTATGATTACTGTTTTACTTTAATTTTATTTTGTTCTGGTTCGGTTTGCAAGTCAACGTTTGCCTATAAATATGGAGAACATCACAAATAATGCTTATGAATTTATGATAGAATGTCCATGGATGAGATCTCATCCATGGATGCAGATGCAACCATGGAATATTTTAAAGCACGTGCATTGGCAAGTAGGCGACGGGCAATGGGCCGGGGATGCAATATTTTCTGTCGTTTATGAATTAGCGGATGCTCAAGTAAGCTTGGAAGAAGATGACGATAAACAAAAAACGGCAATGCGGCGGTGCTATCAAGATCAACACAGCCTAAAACACTGACATAGTATGAGAACAAAAGTTGTCTCCTAGAGACGTCTGGTCAAATCTATTCTCCCTTTTCGGTGCCTGGTAAAGTCAGGATGCTTGAATTAGTTTATTTGTCTCCTTTTAAGGACAAGTTGTTTATTTTAGTTATCACAAGACTAACAAGTTCAACAATGCTATTAGATTAGATTACATAGATGTGTAATAATTAAAATACGTAAAGTTGAAGTTATTTTTCTAACTGAATTGCTTAAGTTAACATAGAGGATAATTTTAATTATTTTTCATATAATTCTTTCTTTGTTTTATTAATAAAATATACAGAGTATTTTAAATACATTTTTTTTTCATATTTTAACAGGATTAGTCAATCATGTCAATTTTATTGAGTAAAAATTGACATGATTGAGTAAAAATCCAATTTTATGAATTGCTTCAAAAGAAATATGTACATATAGTCATAAAGTTGAATGATAAATTGATAAGCCGAAAACTTGGATTACCAAATTGTTCTCAATTTCTCATTTGTCGAGCTATCATCTTCAATGCATTTGCATTGAAGAACTAATCAAAAGAACTAATCAATAGAAAACGTCTCTCTCACATTACACAGTGTAATACATTAATTTAGTTACTTTTTATTCACAATGTCAATTATAATGTCCATATATGATTTAGATTATGTGTGAACAAAAAACAAAATTATATATTTATTTACTTAGAGGAAAAAATGTGAAAGATTTTATGTTTTTTATTACATTTTCTCCAGTTAGTTTGTGATAAATAAAAACCCCACTTGTTGGGTACTTATATATCTTTGTTGTCGGCTGGAAATGCATGGCCTAAAGGGAATTTAAATACGTTGTTTTCTTATTCTTATAATAATTGAGTTTTGCCTGCAGCGATCACATGGAGTGATGGAGGGTGGTGTGCGATCTCAATTTCTCTGTCATTAAAGCCCAAAGCTAGCAGACAACATACGGATTGAGTACTATTTTAATTAACCATAACATAATTTTAACTCGCCCGCCTATTAATTCCAATAATAAATTAATTAATAGTATTAGAGTTTCATGTCCGTTGGTTTTTTATGCGCGTCACCGCGTCCGGTCCTAAACTATCTCTTCATAAAATGTTTGATAGCATAGTGCTACTTATGTATCCACCATTTTGCCGGGTCATAGCGTAGGGCGCTCCGTGTCCATATATTCCCCTAGTATAATGTATCTAAATAATTGTTCATATTTATGTTAATTTCACTTTCTGTATTTTGTAAATTATACTCCGTACTCCGTAATAATCTGTCCCAACATGTATTTGTAGTACATACTTTACTGAATTACAACTTAATTAAGCACTAACATTCTTACAAACACAATCTAATTATGTCAAACACTCTCTCTCTCTAGGTTTAGCCTAGTTCTCCTTCCGGCGGCGGCCTTCCTTGGCTGTGGGTTCCGGCGATTTCGGCCGATTTTCCCACCGGTTGGCGGGTCTCGTTTCAAAGCTTGTCAGGGCTTTGAGTCTTCTGTCATCGCGGGACTTTTTATTCTCGATCAAGGCTTTACGTGTCTTGTTGTTTTCGCTGCTTTGGGTCGTTGTTTTGGTTCCAGGTCGGAGTTGTTGAGTTGCGACGGGCGACAGCCAGAGTAATCCGATGCCAGAGACTTTGGCCACCGAGTCCAGGTCGAAGCGCAGAGGCCACCGAGTCCAGGTCGAAGCCCGTTCGTTTATTTTGGTCACACACAGCAGGGATGAGTTTGGTTGAAACAGATTTGGATTCTATGTCATCTGTGTTAGGTGGCGACAAAGGAGGCCCGGTAGAGATCCTGATGAATAAGAGGCAACGTGAGGACTGAGGAAGAAGCTTTGGTACTGATGGATCGTACCCCACCTGAACCACCGTCATGGAACGCAGGAGACTCTAGGGTTTGAAAGCATCTTTTTATTTTTACCGTTTGCTTGCGTTATATTTTTTATGATCAGACTGTTTATTTTTCCGTTGTATACTTTTATTATTGTAAGACTCTTGCATTAGGATTGAGTAAAGTTTAGTCTGCTTCAATCGTCTGTGGCTCAGGTTTGCCCATTAATGGATCGACGAATTATATTATTTATATTATTTCTTTGAATGTGATTAACTCCGAGTCTGATTCGCAGTCTGACGGTTGTATGTGATTTCTTACTTTCTTTACTCTCTTTCTGAATGATAATGTTTTAATATCAATTTATGCGCCCCTTCCAAAAAATAGCACAACGAAAAGGGAATATGAATATACTCACAAGGTGGGATGGATAAGTCTTCAGAACTCTGTCATCCTTCCCCTTTTAAAAGGTCAATAGGTCATGTCAATAAGGTCGTGGCTAACTTTGCCAAACTTTATTCATTTGCCATATGAATATCATTCCAATAAAGTCATGTCAATAAACGTCATATATTTCCCCATTCAAATTAATATATTTAATTGAAAGGAGAATTTGATTTTGCACCACATTTTTAGGTGATATTGGACTTTTCATCATATTTTAAAAAAATAAATGACTTTGCACCCTATCATATAACATTTGTGAAGTAAAATTTTTAAATGGGGTGCAAAGTCCAAAGATTTTGAAGTGAAATGGGTGCATAAAATCAAAGTTTTTTTTAAATGGGGTGCAAAGTCCAATATCAACCAAAAAGTGGGGTGCAAAGTTAAATCTCCCTCATAACCCCTTAATTGTATGATGGTTCTATGATCTATTATCTTTATGTTTTATGTGTATATAAATGTCAATAAATGTCATATACTATATATTCATTGTGTATTTACATCTCACTACAAAAAAAATTAAGGGATTGACACGGATTTAGCACAAATCTATCGATAATTTCGTGTCAAATAGCTAGTGTCAAACTGTTTTCGGCACGGATTTGGCATATTCATGCGGAAACCCCTGTCAATTTTGGAGAATTTCTGCCAAAAAGCTCTGCAAATTTCATGTTTTTTTTGTAGTGACTAGTCTAATCTAATATGATTTAATCTAAATTTGTCTAGAATGAAAAGTCAAAAGCTAACTCAAATAAAAACATAGTAAAAAATGAAGTGATATATCAATCTGGTAAGTTTAATTTAGTGTCCAACAATTTTTTTCTTCGACTAAAAGATCAACAAATACTGGATGGAAGGGCATGTAACTACTCAACTAATACATATGGAATCAAGTATACATTTTTTTTTGAGATCATGGAATCAAGTATACATTGAATGAAAGGGAATGCTGTAAAATCAAACCAGAACAGCTGGATGGCCGCTAGCTGAGTCATACATTTCCAAGGCTAGTAGAACTTCAAAATCGGCTTGAATATTTTCTCTATAATTTACTGACGATGCTTACAAAAAATGACCACAATGGGTACAAAGTCAATTGAACGTGGACTAGCTATTTTGATCGATCTAATAATTAATTCAAGGTACAAACAAATGTCAACAGTGAAATAACTTTGTATGGGACTAGTACAAAACATATGTGATGTCCTATATTCAGTATTCACTATACTGAAGTCCAAATAAAAAATGTAATTAACTTTACGTATATACTCAAAAATGCGTGTAATTATGTGGCTAGGTCTTTTGACCATACGGTGGTGTTTTAGTTGTAATTGTGATGATTTATTTGATTTCAGAATAAGACATTTTATATAAAAATAAATAGGTTTCACGTTCTCTACAAGGTTTTACCTAATTAATACACCAAAAATTACATTCTACGGAGTATTAAACATTTTAAATTTTATTTTTAAATTCATTTTCATTTTTAATTAACATCATCAAATTTTACCATCACATATTTTCTCTTTAATACCTATAATGAATTAAATTTTAAAATTACAAGGTTCTAAGCTTGTTTAATTATGTGGGTTACGAACTTACAATAGGCTTAACCTTTTTTTTTTTAAGAAAAGAGGAAATTTCTTATTGAATTAAAGGGGAAATACAAATCGTGAAAAGAAAGGAAAAATAGTACAAAAATGAAAGATAAAACTAGTGCTCCGGGAGAGATAGCATCTACCGGTCCCTCCTCACCTCCCCACCCCCAACCCACCATGCGGCAAGGAGCGGGACATGTCCCGATTTAGGATGTTTTTACTTGGACTGTAATTTGTTGGTCTGGTCTGATCTGGTCTGGTAAAGTCTGGTTTCTTTGTATTTTTATAACTATCCAAGTCTGATCTGGTCTGGTCTAGGACAAATTACAATCCAAGTAAAAACATCCTTGGTGTCAAAACATAGTCCAAAATAACTAGATCTCCACCCGGGCTTTGAGCTAGTAAAAGCCCGAACCCAGCACACAAAACAGTCCATCTAATTGAATCCCATCATCCAGGTTCCAACTTCCAAGCCTAGTAAAAGGAATTTCCCCTTCTTCATCATTAAAATCCGGTCCAACACACAGGGATTTGAGTTCCAGTGTCCAGTCCAACAAACTAAAGCCCATGGGCCATCAAACAAAATTATGAAGCAGCGCATGAAGCTTAGCCGAGATTCGCAAGGCCCGTTAGGCAACACCTATTAAAATTCAAGTTTTGTTAAAGGAGAACCTAAATAAAACCAAATCCATTCTTTTTCCAACTAAAACCGTCAATATATTCACCCAATATAGTTTTTAGTCAAATTCTTACACTTTTTTTAAGCGGAATTTTATTAAAAGTAAATAAGAAGAGTACAAAAATGAAGAAAGAAACAAAAACACAAATGAATAAATAATCCAAAAGGCCCTGCAAATCCCTAAAGTAAACCGCTTAGCTTCCCGGCGAAATGTACTGAGTTGCCCGAAAGAGATGAAGTCCCCAAAATATCCAAAAGGTAATTCTGTAAGGAGAAATGACCCTATGTTTCAGCCAATTTATTAGCCTTGAGATGGGCATTGCGTCGAGGTAGCAATCTAGAACTGGCTGAATCCCATTCAGTGTCAGCAACGCGGCCTAGCACCTCTAATGTATTTTAAACTGAGTCAAAATATGACATTGTTTTATTCATGTTTGGGAATATTTCTAAGAAGATTGTATTCAAGGAAGCCACAACTCTCACTTGACAAGTACACTGGGCAAAAGAGATGTTGATTATAGACTAATTGGTGCTTATTATGAGACGTGTAATGTGATGTGAATACAAAGCTTTATTTTTGATGTATTTAAAGAAAGAGCAATATGAAGCTCAGTTAGTTTAGGAGTCCATTTGGTAATCGCTACCAGCCAACTTTTTATTATCAAAAAACGTAACCTTTAGGGATGAGTAGAATGCTACGAAGCACATAAACGTTTGGGGAACAACAGTATTCCGGAAACTCCTAAGTATCTCTAAAAAGCTTCACCTTGTGATAGACTTCCATTTATTTTTTCTAAAATGAAGTATACCGTGCAAGAAATTAAACATATTGATGTTTCACAGTAACACTGAGAAAGTGAGGAAAACTATGCCAAATACAGTAAGGATAAGATTTTAATTAGCTACAATATAATTTGGAACACTAAACAAGTCAAAACATTTCCCTCTTAATTTTTGCTTCACACTGTATAGCACAATAGAAGTCAATAGTATGTAAAATGAGTTCGAAAGTTCGATAGAGAGCGACTAGTTTGGTCGAGCTTGGGTGAGTTTTCACGATCTCGTCGATCTGTGACAATCGGTTGGCTCGATGAGTTGATGTTAAGGTCCAATAGTATCCATCAAATAAGAGCTTCGGCGGCACATATAGGGCATGTTTGGCACAACTAGCTGAAAAGATACTTTTGTGAGCTTTTTAATAGTTGTTAGCTTTTAGTGACTGAAAAGATCTTAAAAAGAAAAGGTGGTAGCTGTTTGATAAAAAGCTGACTGTTTGATTTAGTTCGGTTTGGTATACAAGCTGTTAGGATTAATTAATACTAAAAGTCACTAGCTTTTCTTAGATGCTACTCCCGGTAGCATCTCAAAAAAGATCTTTTAATTTTTGAAAAGCTCTTAAATATTGTCATGCCAAACACACAACTAGAAGCTTTTAGGAACTTTTTGAATAGTACAAAAGCTAGAAGTCAGGGACTTATGCCCGCCAAACATAGCCATAAGCTCGTCGCATGTTTTGTGTCATGGAACGGGCTGATATTGTGGGACCATAAAATCAAAGGAAAAATAATGGTCCCTAATTTTGAGTTAAATATACAAGCATTTTCTATTTGCTGAGCTTATTTGAGCTTACTCCTTACTCTCTCAGTTCATGGAAATACTTCCCACGTTCCTTTTTGGGCCGTTCCTAAAAATACTTCTCACTTTCCCTTTTGGTCAATTTGTATGGTTCACATTCATTTTACGTTTTTCTTACACAACTACAATCAAACATTTCCACTTTATTCCACTTTCTTAATATGCGTGTCAAGTCAAACCGGGAAGTATTTTTAGGAACGGAGGTAGTATTAATTAGGTCTAATTTTTGCGGCATACATATATGGCCTATATCTATTTGCTTATGTAAAATTATCCAAATCATCATCTTCTAATAAATGAGTGTACAAAAAAAGATGCACCTATAATTAGAATGGTTCGAATGGCAGTTTTAAGTCAATGATGGGCGGAATAAACTGTTTCTGGCAACTCTAAAAAGTCTCGACGGGTTGAAGATCGTGTACCCATAATAGGCATTGATGCATACACCTTTTTAGTCCTGATAATATATCCACTATTGAGATTTTTTAAATGAGTGAAAATTGTATCTATAGCTCAACATAATTCTTAAGAAATAAGTGTGCACAATTATTATGACCATATGTTTATTAAGTTTTTTTTTTTAAAAAGAGGCATACCATTCTTTTCAATATGCATATGAGTTGAATGATGATTGTAGACTGAAACATGCATTTTTTACTAATAGTGTTTCCGATACACAATGATGATCTTGTCTCATCTTATACTACTCATGATACTACTAGATACAAGATGACATATGCATCTTTTAGCGGAGTTGATAATCATAAATTTTGTACTCCGTATTACCTTTGGTGTTGTATTTATCAGAAATGAACATCCTGAATCGTTTAAATGGCTATTTGAGCATCTTTTAAGGCAATGGGGGGAGGGGTACACGACTTTATTTATCATCAATTATCAGGAGCGGTCCTGAATTTGGAGAAGTACACATGTATATTGGAAATATGTATTCATATTATGATTTTATTTCTTCTTCTTTCCATATAAAAAACGATTATCATTGTTTTTTGCAGTTGTGTTTTACACTTTTCCAAACTTTTACAAATTTCAAGATGAACAATGGCATGCTCGTATCAATTATGTAGTTTACAAAAGGAAAGAAACCAATGAAGGGGGTGATGATTATGATTGTAAACATTGATAGAAAGGTCGGGTTATAAAAAGGAAATGTTGTTTGTATTCGTTTTACGTACGTGGCACGCTGCATTTAAGATGTTTGAATGTGAAGGAATTTCGTGTCATCATATATTGTGTCTTTTAGAACGTGTAGTTGAGGTGTGATCTATTTGATAATTAGGAGATGGATAAAATTGATAGTAAGTAGGCCAATGTATAATTTGGAAAGAAATGTCTTGGAGGGTTGTTCATAAAATGATTTTGAGTAGACATACTGAATTGTAAGTAACCAATAGGAAGGGACCAAGACAAACTTGATATGGTCTTCAAGCCAATTAAAGGAGCTATGCAATTGTTGGAAGAGTCAAGTGGTAACACGAGTGAAATTAAGAGTTGTGAGTTGGACACTCATTGATTCAAATTTCCCAAAACAATTGAGATATTCCCGCCTAAAGAACAAAGCAAAGGGGTGGGAAGTGGAGTAAATGAATGAAATAGTAGACAACATAGGATGTTTTTACTTGGACTGTAATTTGTCCCAGACCAGACCAGACCAGACCAGTCCAGACCAGACCAGACCAGTTCAGACCAGACCAGACCAGACCAGACTTGGATAGTTATAAAAGTACAAAGAAACCAGACCTTACCAGACCAGACCAGACCAGTTCAGACCAGACCAGACCAGATCAGACCAGACCAGACCAGACCAGCAAATTACAGTCCAAGTAAAAACATCCATAGTAACAAATAGAGGGAAATGGTTTGTCGAGCGTGTGGTGAAGACTATCACAATAGTCGTAATTGTCCAAACAAACAAACACATTACTACTTGTTGATGACACAATATGTGATTTTGTATAACATTGAATATCACACGTGCCAACTTTTCTTTCTTAGTTTTTGAATGGCAATTTTCTGCTTCCTTCAGTTATACTCTCATAAATTGGTTCTTTGTTTACTGTTGTTTATGATAGGAGCAATGATCAATGCAAATCCTTTGGCTTTTGCACCTTTCGCAACTCACCCGGCAAAAGACATGTGCGGACCTTTACATCAAATCCTGTAAAATCCATCTAAAGCTCATGTAATACTTCTATGGGATTCCACCACATCATGGCTCATATGATCAGTACTAAGAAAATTGCCATCAATAAAATGACAAGTGGGATTTCGAAAATTGTAATCATTTTCACTCTCAATGAGGCTATCTTTATAGCGTTGGTTACTAAGAAAGCTGCTATAAAGGGTTGAATGCTATGCCATTCATGATCAAGTCATGAAATCCTACAAATAAGATATTTTTGATATTAATGAGAAAAGAGTTAATTCACCGGTGGGCGTAGCTCATCTGGTAGTGAAGGAGTGCCACAAGGGTTAGATTCCGGGTTCGACTCCCGGCAACTGCGATGAGAGGTTTCTCAATAGAGGGCCTCTGCAAGTAACGGGGACGGAGCCCCCCTCTATATCTGTCAAATTGTGATTATAGTCCAATTTACTTCTTTATCATGTCGTCCGATCGTTTTTTTTTTTTTTTTTTTTGAGAAAAGAGTTGATTCAGCATTGGGTTATAAGCCAAAAGCTCTTGTATTAAAAGTTTAAAATAAAATTGTTATACAACTTTATGACAAAGAAAAAGGGGAAAACAAAGAAAAGGGGAAAAAAGAAAAAACTTTGGTCACATGAAATAGAGTTCAAGACTGTAGAATCTTGATTTGTTAGAGTTCCAAGCACGACCCTGGTTTGTATAAGGATTTGTACACTTTCAAAAGTTGGATTCCTTGGTTAACAATTGCTCAACTATCTTCTCTGAAAGCCGGACCGATTCTGAGGATTTGGTGGGCAATACGGTATCGACGGCATCGTTCCTTCCGACAATGCTCTGAGCCGGTTAAGCTCCGGCAACACCTCGGTGCCGAGGTCCGGCCGGTCTTTCCGCCTGAGCTCCGCGCACTTGAGAGCCAACTTGGCAAACCTCATCGTCTCCTCAATCGGCCAGTCAGACACCGCCGGATCAAGCATCTCAGCAAATGTTCCTTTCTCAATCGCCCTTTCCACGTTATGAGTTAACCCCATCGGAGGTTTTGCTGTGATGATCTGAAGCAGCATGATTCCCAATGAGTAGACGTCGGATTTTATCCCCAGCATCCCCGTCTGTTGGTACTCTGGATCTATGTAGCAGAACGTTCCGGCCGCCGATGTCATCCGGTATTGCGTCACGCTGTCGGCGACGTTAGGAGGCACTAGCCTGGCTAAACCTACATCACTGATTTTGCTGACGTAGTTCCGGTCGAGTAAAATGTTGGCCGGTTTCAGGTCACGGTGGACCAGTGGCTCCGGCTTGGTTTGGTGGAGGAAGAGAAGTCCGGTGCCGATCTCCGCCGCTATCCGGAACCTGACCTGCCAAGGAAGAGCAGGAGTACTGCCGCGCGAGAAGAGACGGTCCTCTAAGCTCCCATTCGCCATGTACTCATACACCAAACAACCGTACTCCGGGCAAGCTCCGAGAAGGAGAACCATGTTCGGATGTCTAATACAGCTCAGAACTTCAACCTCTTGCTGGAATTGGGACCTCCCCTGGGCGGCGTCTGGCCGTAGGACCTTAATTGCGACCTCAGTGTGATCGAGGTGAGCTCTGTATACAGGTCCGTAACCGCCTTCCCCAATTTTTCGGGAGGCGGAGAAATTTTCAGTTGCGGATTCGATGTCCTCTATTGAGTACTTGCGATACAGGCATTCGTTATGGGCGATTTTGTCTAAGACCTTCTTCTTCTCATCCGCTTCCCGGAGAGCTTTCATCTCAGCACTTATCCTCTTTTGTGCTTCTAATTCAGCGAGTCTCTGAGCTGCCTCGGCTGCTTCTAGCGCGGCCCTGCACTTGGCTTTCTCTTTCTCTGCTATGGCCAATGCTGTTTCCTCCGACAGCCGAGCCTCTTCTAGCTTCTGCTGCTCTTCCATTTTCCAACGATGGAGTTCTAGAGCCTTCTGTTTAGCTGAGAGTGCTTCCTTGCAGGCTGTGCTATACATGTCCATTGTTTGCTTGAGTTCCTGCTTTAGCCTTCTCATTTCAGCCTCTACATCATCCTACACAATGTGTGATAAGGTATTATTATAATTTATAAAGATACAAACTTATATAAAATTCTTTGAGTTATTCCTATTATCAAGTTAATATTTTAGATAGTATTAGAGTCCATTAAACTCAAATCATTGAATCAAGATTAGTCTACTCTAATAAACAAGTAACACAAACACTCTTTGAGTTAACTCAATTCAAGATTGGTTTGCTAGGATAAACAACCACTTTGAATTACTCTTCTAGACAACCACTTTGAAGTCTTAGTAGTTCATTTAGTTATATCATCAATCCATGGGGAGAAATGCATACCACAGTCTGGGATGATGATGACCAAGATCCTCCACTTTCTTGAGAGTGTGATGATAAGATGTTGGAAGGGTTATAGTTCATGTCAGATAGCCTGGATCCAGAAAGTGCTGACCCAAAACTCAACCTGTTGTCTGTGTCAGAGCCATTGGAAAGGCGATGGAGGATACTGGATTCTTGACTGTCAGAGAGCATTGGAAACATGCGCTCTGTGCTAGGCCTACCCGAACTAACGAATGATATGTCAGAAGAGTCTGGTATGGAAAGTTCCCCATATGATCTGTTTGAGTACTGGCCTCTAGAGAACGGAGATCTGTGTAGATTATATCATGATGCATTAGTTAGTGCTAAACATTCATATTTAATTACTTTATCCCTAAATGAAGTTCACTTCACATTTTACATTTCAAGATATTAAATTGATGATAATTTAATTCTCATGTAATAAGGCATAACTTATTAGTGTTATTGGACTTGATAACCCAAAATCAAATTTGAATATGAAAAAATTGGATTCATAAGATTACAAAAAAGGTTAGGAATTACAAGTACGTAAAGTTGATCACAAGTATAGTAAAAATAAACATAACATGTGAATAGATAAAGTATTGCTATAAGTTTATCTAAAGCTCACTTGATGAAATCATTATCCTCCGCGCTTCTATGTGAAAATGGTGATGATCTCTCTGAAGCATTCCCTACAATAGGTGGTGAAATACGTGTTCATTACACGTGACATATATAAAAGTAACCAAAATGTATGTTTTGTAGATAGAGTAAAGATATGTGTACATTTCTTGTACATTTCATCTATATGACACATGTTTATTGAGTGATGAAAAGTTGTCTTACTTTTCACCTCCCGATAGATATGTGTCATGCAAGAACATACACAATAAAAGTATATACAAAATGAGTGTCTAGAATTATTTGGTATCTTTATTTTCTTAAATAGTATACAGAAATATGAGATATTGAACACACACCTAGGCTCTCATTACTATGCATGAGGCGAGGATCGGAGAAACCAGAACTTGTTGAGCTACGGGCAGACACCGTGGGGGTAGCGATACTGGCAGTCCTTGAGGAAGCAAGTTTACCCTTGGCCACTATGTAGACATTGCAGAACTCAGGAGCGTTTCTGCTTACACTGGTCGGAACATCTGGTGTCTTGAATCTTCTGTGCCAAAGGGTTTATAAGTACCCATATGTGTGTGTAGGAAAATCCTCAAATGCCGAGTTAGCATCGTTCACATACTTAAAAAGATTGTAACTTTATGCTAAAAATGATATGATTTTTTTTTAAATTTGATAGGAAGCATATCAATTTGACCGATTATTTACACATGTATGTGTGTAGTAAGATAATTTAGAAGGGGATGATGGTGCACTAAGCTTTTTATTGAAAATAATGCATACCTGACGAAGCTATTCCTTGATGGGGAACCAAGCACAATGTTATCAATTGCATTGACATGAACATAGTCACATAGAGCTTTTGATATGTCTGCTCCTTCAATTACAATTTCATTAACGTGTATCTGTACCAGAAAGAAAAGAAAAGAAACTTAATGGGATTGATTTGTCATTTGTCAAGATTTTTTTTGCAACCAAGAATAAAACTTACGTTCTTTCTAGTGCAAAAGCAACGGAAAGGCAAAAATAATTCCTTGGATTGATTGTCAAGTTGACTTTTGTGTACAGATGAATAGCTTCCATCAGGATTTTGTGCAGCGCCAGGCTTGAGGAGGACGTGGAGAAGGGTGACACTTTTGCCTTTACCAAGAGAGAATTTATCAATAGCCCATTTGAGAGCAAATTGGCTTCCTTTGTCCTTGTCAATTGCAACCACAACCGACTCGTCTCTTTTCATTAGTGCACTCTTTTGGCTATTAATCATACTTTGTTCTTTGATCACAATAGTTAAAAGCAAAGAAAACCAATGCAAATTTTTCCTATTCCAAAAAGCCTTGATTTGCAAAATCCTTAACAAATCAAATGGAATGTCTAGGACCTCTCTATTCAAGGGATGGAGAGGCCCTCTTTTGATGATTCTTGAACAATTTTGGGATTGGAGGTTCTAGGAGAGGTTTGTTCACCCTAGAACTCCTCCCAGCTAGTTACCTCCCCAATTGTCTTCCCATTCTTTTCATCATATTAGACCAATTTTCTCACCCTTGGCTTCCCAAATATAACGCAATACAATAGAAGCCATTGGTTAACAATCTTAACATGTGATCTTCCTTATACAAGCTTCCTACAATTGCGCTTCATCTTCTAATATTTCTTTCATTCCATATGAATGATATGATATATCACGTCAAGAAGACCACACAATTTATCCACACACTTTTTAGCCGGTCCTTTTTAAATTGCTTCAATTGTACTCCCTTCGAATCAATATTATTTTTATTCTTTCATTTTTCGTCTGTCTCAATATAAACTTGTCTTTCCTTTTCTAGCAAAGAATGTATGGATTATAGACCACACATTTTTCATGTACTTTCTTAATTGTGTGCCAAGTCAAAACAGGAATTAATATTGGCACGGATGGAGTATTTTTTGTGTGGCAAAGATTCTTACCTATTAATCTATTATAGTGTATGTTCTATGTTGAAGCCAACATCCCTGAATTAGGATGAGACTACTAAGTACTTGGCTGGTTAAATTGTATTTTTGTTCCGAAGGTAGTCAACCATAATGTTATTATTACACCGGCTTTCATATATAAAATAAGAGGAAAATAATTTAAATACCCCAAACTTTAGACGAGTGTGAGATAGGGCTGGACTCGGGCCGGGCGGCCCGACCCAGAACCGACCCGGCCCGCCCACTGTAGCAACCGGCCCGGCCCGGTGGCCCGGTCCACCAGCGGTTCGGGTCAAACCGGCCCGGTGGATACTGGTTCCGGGCCCGGGCCCTCCATTTGGTGAACCGGCCCGGCCGGTTCGGGCCCGGTCCGGACCGGAATTAATTTTTTTTTAAAAATTTTTTTTTAAGTTTTGGGTTGGATTAGGTATTTTGGGCCATTTGAGGTGGTTTGGGGTTGAGGGGGAGGGTTAGGGGTTAAATAAAAGAAGCCAAAAAAAAAAAAAATTACATACCCGGATGAACCGGCCCGGAACCGGAACCGGAACCGCCCACCCCCGGTTCGGGCTCGGGCCTCATATTTCTGAACCGAGGCCCGGCCGGGCCCAGGCCCGAGGCCCGAACCGGCCCGGTTCAGTCCAGCCCTAGTGTGAGATAAGTATCCAAAACCTGCATATGTAATATATATACCTGATGAGTGTTTTCTCGCACTTAAAATAGATCGTAATATAGTGGTGTAAGTACGAGTATTGTCTCCACAGGGACGGACAAAAGAGAATCAAGAAATAATTAAATTCGGCAATTAAAAGAAATACGAAGTAAATAAAATAAATGCTTCGTGCGAGATATGATTGGTATGAAAAATTAAAATGCAACTAAATGATTAAAATAAATGGGTTCTCTCTAATTAATGACGAAGGGAACAGGGATTAATTCCGGGGCAACCAGATTTCTTGCAGATCAGGCCTAATTACATGAAATTAATTCAATTGAGCCTAGCTAGTCATTACTAAGTTCTTACCGCTCTCGCGGCGTAGAGTACAATAAATTAGGGGACCAAGCTGATCTCTCATGCGACAGGATCCTAAATTATTGCCAAGACGAGCGAGCTTACGGCCCCTTAATCGCTACTAATCTCTTAGCGAATGATTAAGTGTGTGTGAAGGTGTCCTAGAATAAACTAGATCTCTCTTAATTTATTCTACAAGCAATTGTAATTCTAGCGCGCGTTCTAGGTTACAAAAGATATAAGTTAAATTATTCAAACACAAATTAAACGACATTCATGCAATTAAACTGAAAGGAATCTAGCCATACATCATGATAAACCCCTTCATCAATCCCAAATCCCTAATTAAAACTACTCACAATTCAGAATTGAAGAATCAATAGAATTGGAATAAAAAGAATTAATCGTCATTAATTAAAAAGGTGGAACTTACAAAGAATCCCAAAAGATTGATGAACAAGGCTGAAAAGCCCTCTAAAATTCGTGCTAGGCACTCTCTCTAAGCTCCCCTCTTCGAAAACGGGGTTTACAGGCTATTTAAATAGGAAAAACGGAACAAATTCGGGCGAAATTAGGATTCCAGGGCCAACGCACGGGGTGCGTCCCCCAGTGCGTCCGGAGCAATGAAACGCGAAATTTGGAAACGCACGGCGTGCGTCCCCCCACGCACGGCCGTGCGTTGCTGGCAGTAGGTTCTTTGCTTTCTCGCCTCAGACGCACGATCGTGCGTTCCCCTACGCACGGCGTGCGTCAAACTTCCGAATTTGACAAAACTTCCTTCATAAAAGTTGTCGATAATGAAGTCCTCTATCCACCCCAACTTGCCGAATGTGATTTTAATCATCCAATCAAGAGATATGATCAAAACGGTGGAAGGTGTCATTCTGAAATCGCAACAAAGATCATCTGACTTCATCGTCTGTTTTCACCTTCTTTCTCTCCGATTCTTGCAAAGGTGTATTCATATGATTTGTAGCCCGTGAAGTTAGCTTTCATATGCAACCTGAATCGTGTCCTTTGGATGATTCTACAAATAGATATGCTTGAACGATTGACAGAAGGTCATCCTGATCGTCGTTTTCAAGCTGCATTCATCTTCTTTTGATCTCATAACCAATCCTAGAGCTCTAAAATCTTCATTGTAAACATCCTTTTGACCTCCATATCTCTCAAATCAATCTCAAATGCTTCTCAACTCATCCCGATTTCTCCTCAAGCGCCAGTGCCGAACTCTAAAATCCTAATTTTGACTCCAAATGACACAAAACTCGAACCAACGCCTGTTAAGCATAACTTGAGCTAAAATTGAGAATTGTAACACCTTAAAAGCTAGGAAAACCATCAAAATCCGATCCGAACACACATCAAATGTGTGTCTAAATACGGACTTATCAGATTCCCCCACACTTAAACCTTTGCTTGTCCTCAAGCAAACTGAACAACGGGACTTACGATAATCACCACACAGAATTAAAATAATTAGCATGCACACGAAGTTAAAGGTATATTCACAGAACAGACAGTCTAAACCAAGAAAATTCTTTCCTAAACTACATCTTTGTACTCAAGCTAAACTATTTGACAAAATTATTCACAACATCCTTAAAGTAATGACAGCATACACAAATAAACTAGCTAGTGATCAGAAGGACTTGTGAAGGTGGTGGTGAATGGATCATGGATAACAATAATAGTCCATTTCTTTTTAGAGATTGGAATATTCTAACAAAGACTCAATGTATTCAGGAACTTCAGGGCTATTCTTAGGAACAAGGAACTTAGTAGGCCACAATTTAGAAACAATCATTTAAACCTATGCAAAGAGTAGACATGGTGTACAACTAAGCTAAACCGTCGCGACACATTTGTGCTTTAACGTATACTTGAAGTACGCGGAGGACTAAAGCTAATTTTTCAATAGCCTCCAAGTTCATTGATTAAGTTTAGTTTTCCTTGTCATGTTGGCACGAGAACGCCGTTTCTTTCGAAGGACACCCAAGTCTCATCTTACGCTTTTTGACCGGGGCTCCCATTCTCTTTTTCGTAAAGTAAGAGGTCTAGCTATATTAATTTTTCACCTTTCGGATTCTCACTAGACATTACCCCATTCTAATCTCGGCCTCACCAAGGAAAAATTACAATTAAAGTTCATTAATTTCAAAGTGAATCCATGCCTACAATGCAATCTTCGAAAGTATCAAATTCCTAAAAAGTGACTGCTCTTACCCCATTTGGAGCATAGGAACAGTGCCCAAAATGGCGCCTACAAAAATTCCCTAAACTTAGCAAATTCATCCCTTAATTCCCTAAACATCAAGACTAAGTTAGAAATATTCACGGGTAAGGAACACAGGCCATTTGGCTATGGAGCTCAATTAATTGGGTAACAAAGAACGGTCAGGCTCAAAATGGCTTCTCCTACAGGAACTTATTCAGGTAAATGGGAACTTTGTCAGTTCATTCAATGGGTGACTAATGCCTTCATCCTTTCAAAAACCAAGTTATCATGCAAGCAATTTAAGCCGAAACACTTCAAGGACATTCTAAAAGCATTGTAAAAAACGCTAGCCAGTTCACAAAGACACAGTTTAAAGAAAAAATTTCAAAAATTTTGACATGAATTTCCTATGAATATACAACTAACACCTGCGCATGCTAACTCTAAAAATCACATGTAACAACTACTGCCCGAATGCCCAATTCACTCCCCCACACTTAAACTTTGGCATCGTCCTCGATGACCAAAAATGCACTATGCACAAGGGGGCAAAGAGGATAGGGTCACGCATGCTCAACTTAACTCAAGTCAATATTTCAACAAGCGAGTAAAAGAGTCAAAGAAACTTCCCTAAGGCGTTGGTCGATGCAGAACTAAATTGAGTCAATGTAATCCTCGGCACATCATCCATACAACAAGATCTTGAGCTGCAACAAAAACACAAAGCAAAACAACCAAACAACAAACAAAGCAAAAGCAAAATCAAAAACAGAAATAAGCTCGGGTTGCCTCCCGAGAAGCGCTATTTTTAAAGTCGTGTGCCCGACGCAACTTCCTCATATGCTCTCAAATAGCAAAGACTGTAGTGGTGCACTAACAATCAACGTTTCAAGCTTCCTTTCAACAAATGCCATTAGGTGTCGCAGATCTTTAAATTCTTCAGTCCACGTAGGCAGTATATGGTCTTCATAACCCTCATCAGCGCAGAAGTGAAGTATGAAACTCTCATCCTCTTCAGGTGGATAGGGAACATGAGTGAAAACTTTGATTACTCTAGACATCACCGGAAGTTCAAAACATGTCTCCAAGCAAGGAGTAGGAGCAACACTGTAATCAAACTGCACCATAGGAAAGTCTTCTTTTTCCTCACAAGTATCATGAACATTCACAACCTCTCCTCCGGTCTCCGTATCACTCCCCATGAAGGCATCCCAACTCTCGTTAACATCGTTCTTATCAATAACTTCTCGGATGATGTTGTCATTCTCCACACAAAAAGGAATATCGTCATCAAGGAGTGAATCAAATAAGTCCATATTTGAAACCACGTAAGAGTGGACCGGTGCATGTGTACAAGAGGGGAATTCTTGCTTGTGGAGCGGGACTTCTTCATTATGAACATCATGTAACTCGCCCTCACTCTCTTGGAGCATGTAATCATCTTTTCTCAACTCATCTTCAATACCCAAACCTACCTCAGTAGCTGCATCAACGTCATGACTGATCTTCTTCTTGCCCTCCTCAAGTGTTGAGACTAATGATAAATCGAACGGCTGGGGGGTTTCTGTATGAAAATCACAATGATTTGTGACTTCATCAGTTACACCTTGTACCGTTTCAAACTTTTTCCTGTATTCTTGGAAAAACAACTTGACACTATTATCGTCTTCTTCATCTTCGAACATAGGTGGGTCTTCAAATGCATCAAGAAGTGTATCATCCATCATATTCCCACCATCATAGTCTGACTCGCTCACGTGATCATCCCTATTGGTCTCCTCGGGTTGGTCTTCTACCAGATGGCTCCTTATGGTATTTATATGCTTCATGATGTTTGAATAGCTCTGCTCCA